TTTTAAAAAAAAGAACAATGGAGTCCTCGCTGTTGATTGTAAAATTTAAAATAATTGAGTTAAAGTATTAAAGGAATGGATTATTTTTCAAGTATAAAGGTTTGACTTGTGGGTAGTATAAACAATTATTGTTTGAATGATTACAAAGGAAAAAAGTTTCAAAAATTCAACATAGTCAGCCTGAGGCTATACATATCAGTAGCTTTTTGCAAATGGAAGAACTGTATATACTAGTCACAAAGGATGGCTCACACAGTAAGAAAGAAAAAATTAAGAAATTTAACGGGGGATGGGAGGGGGGTGGTTGGTGGAGGGAGGGTGATTGGAGGGATCACCTCTATGGTTTATCTTTCAAGGGTACAAGTGAATCTTTCTAAAAGTAGAATATAAACGTCTTAACACAATAACTAAGAAAATGACATAAAGGCTATGTTAACCAGTTTGATGAAAATATTTCAAATTGTATATGAAAACACCACACTGTACTCCATGATTGCATTAATGTTCACAGCTAACATTTAATAAAAAAAAAAAAGAAAAAATATAACTTTTACATATACCCATATTCACCTCTCAATTCAGATCTGTTTTAAAGAAATCAAAGAGAAAGGCTGAGCGGTCTCTAAGTCTGAGCGGTCTCTAAGTCTGAGCGGTCTCTAAGTCTGAGTCCCTCTTCATGGGTTTGAAAGCAATGAGGTAGAAGAAGGGGGGCAGTCAGTCACCACCACGGCCAGAGAATCTGAAGCTGAGTCAGTCAGGTGGCTTTTGTTGTGTTAATTCGAGGAATGTCATGAAGCCCAGTGAAAACTCACCAGTGACTTTCTCCCTGAAGTTGGAATCTAATACTGAGAGCTGTGTGCTATTGTGGGTCTTCCTGGCCCAGCCAATATTTCCCACACCCTGTCCTTCTTAAACATATGCTTAGAACTTCCAGGTAAGGCTCTCACACCAGCCATGCTCTTTCCCAATCCTTTCTAAATTGCTTGCACATTAATTGATCACTAAAATAACACGCACTGCTATAATTTATACAGTTGCTTCATCATCTTATGTCTTTTCTAGTTGTCAACTTTCTGGCAAGAAAACGTTACCCTATTCTATCAAAAATCACAGAGTTGGATCTCAGTGGGTCTGATCTAAGCAATTTAAATCCAAGTCTGTAATGAATAACCTACTATGATTAGCAATCTCATGCCTAGATTCTAAAGCTGTTCATGAATTCATCTTTTGGACTTTCTTTGACATCTTTTAACTCACTATGACATTAAAAATAACATTTTAACGTTGTTAGAACAAAGATCAAATCATGAACAAAATTGCTCAGGTAAAGGAGAAACTATTTCTTCAACATCATAAGACTAAAGTCAACATAAGACATCAATTTATTCACAAAATTATAGTTTTCTGTGGTTAATGGATGGTGGCATGAAAAAATAGAGCACATATCATTGAGAATACGTAACTTTCCCATTATAATTGGAATCTTATTTCCTTTTAACTTTAAACTGGATCTAGTCATCCAGAGATATTCTGTAAGCGAGGCATCTGTTCTACGAAATTTTTTATATTTTAATAAAGGGAAATAGTCAGCCTACTAAAAACCACACATTATTATTCCTGAGTGGATGTCAGAGAGGAAGTCTCAAGAGTACTGAAATGTAATGGTAGAAGTACGATTTTTCCATTAACACTCCAAGAAGCATTTGATGAGCACAGTGGTGGTGAGGAAAGGAGCAGATACAGATGGAGGGAAAGAGCACAGGAAACAGGAGGATGAAAACACAAATGGCGAAAGAAAATACAAAAAAGAAGATGACCAAGGGGGGCAGAAAGGGAGATCTCTCCCTGACTGAACATCTACACATACCTTATTCTATGTTAGGGACTGTACTTTCTTTTTTTTTTTGAGACAGAGCCTCAAGCTATCCCCCTGGGTAGAGTGCTGTGGCATCACA